TCTTCATGTCATTGACCAGCTTCTCCCTTGTAGTTCTGGGCTGATTCCTTACCTTTCTTATCATCAGTGATACCCCACGAGGTGAGATCTTGCATGGCGCCCCAGTCTGAGGGAGACTGACAGTCGTCTTTAGCCTCTTCCATTTTCTAACAATTGCTCCAACAGTTGATCTGTTTTCACCAAGCTGCTTGGCAATTGCCCCGTAGCCCTTTCCAGCCTTGTGGAGGTCCACAATTTTGTCTCTGGTGTCTTTTGACAGCTCTTTGGTCTTGCCCATGGTAGTAGTTGGCGTCTGACTGACTGTGGGGTGGACAGGTGTCTTTAAAGAGCTCAGACAGGTGCTACTAATTTAGATTAATGAGTGGAGTAGAGGTGGACTTTTTCAAGGCACAGTAACAGGTCTTTGAGAGCCAGAATTCTTGCTGTTTCTCAGGTGTTCAAATACTTATGTTCAGCAGTGCTAGACAAATAAATTCTTTAAAAATCATACAATGTCATTTCCTGAATTTTTTTTAAATTCTGTCTCTCAGAGTGGGAATGCACCTACAATGTGAATTTCAGACCCCTCCATGATTTCTAAATGGGAGAACTTGCAAAATCGCAGAATGTTCAAATACTTCTGTTCCTCACTGTATAGTATAACACTTTCTGCACTGAGTAGCCTACTTCTGCTTTTAATACTTGAAGTATTAAAAGTGTCAAACCACTGAGTCTGTCACGTGAAATTCAGCATCAGTGTCAGTGATCCACATTGCCTAAACATGTTGATGAACAAGTTTTCTACTACTCAACTGAAGTTTAAAGACAATTTATAGTAAAGTAATCTCACTTCCAATCCTTTTGTAAGTCAAAACCTATAATCTATACACATTTCATTGTGACCATTGCTACATAATAATATGTCTGTATAGGAGTTTTAGATTACTCTTGCTTTACCACTCCAATCAGGTCATTTCAACAGTTGTGTCAGCAGCAGCTCTGGAGGACAGAAAGGCTCCTCTGGCCTGATTAGGAGGCCTAGATAGAGAGTTCTAATGGGATATGCGGGCTGCCTGCATCTTGCAACGTCTGTCCCAACATGAACATCTTAAACTAGAGCAGTTCTGTGAGATCAGACGTAATGAAAATTATTGTGAGATCAGAGAAACAAAGTTTTTTATGTAAAAAAAAAAAAAAAAAAAAAAGGAAAAAAGAAAGAAAAACTCAAAACTATATCTGTTTTTGTTTGTTTTAAAAGGATGGTAAAGCAGGAAGTGAAGCCCATTCATACAACATGATTTTAAACTTACCAGCTGAAGTATATCCTCATCTTTTGGCATCACACAAAGTTCAAGAAAGTCACCACTGTTGGAGATCAAAAAGGGATTGAAAACAAGGAAAATGTGGCAACTAACCAGAACCATCCACAAAAATGATGCTAAATCTCACCTGTCTTGGATCAATGATATAACCTCACTATAAGCTTTCCCAATGATGCTTGCTTCATTCACCTTCACTATGCGATCACCTAACAGGCAATAAAAAAAAAAACAGCAGTAATGACAGTCGTAACAGAAAGGTGTAGTACAAATCTGTAAGTTGTCTTTATGAAAAAGAACTCATGCTCATGACAAATGAAATGTGCATTCATGTCAATGGAAAAAGAAAGCAAATAGTCTGAAATCAGACAACTGATGTCTAAATTTACAGTAAGTAAGCTGAAGATTCCTTCTATCCATTAAACCATAAAATCGCTGTGGCAGCTACCAAATAAAGAAAAAAAAAAAAAAAAAAAAAAAAGGGGGATTTCCATACAACTAACTTTTTTAATTCACAGGAGGAAGGCTATCAGGCCTCGAGGGAAACATGCCCTCCTTACACTTTTGCCCTTTTGCTTGCAACACTCAAAAAAAAAAAAACCTACGCAAATTTTCTGCTCTGTATGGTATCACTTCTTGGATTATGCCTCTGGTGCTGTAGCATCATGTCTTCTGAGCACTTGAAGTAATGAAGGAGACTGGTGGATTGATGGCTTATTATTACCTGTGCAAAGCCCAGCTCTGTGGGCTGGGCCACCTTCCTTGACTTGCTTCACGAAAATGGTGTCCATCGGCTCTATCCTATTCCGCTGTCTCCCTGATGACAGCAGAGAGAATAGTATAAATTATACAAATTGTACAGAATGTACAAAAGAAACCCTATGAAATGTAATGTAGTTGTTTTATTCTGCACTTTTGAAAAGGTGCATTTTCATCACCAGATGGATTTCCCGTGCCTTCCCTTAGAGGGTAAATTACTTTATTTTTGAAATGAATTAATTCTTTACGTAAACACAAAGCAAGAAAATTAAAACACACAACTTCCTATTCTATTCCAAGGGCTGCTATACTGTATGTCCATTAACACCAAGGCTCAACTTAATAGGTGAAAAGCAACAATTCCTACCAATGACTAGCAGACTGAGATTTTCATGACATTTAGGTGAGAAGACAGAGTGGCTGTGTATGAGAATGAGAGAGAAACTGGGATGTTTGTCACATGATGTGAAGGCATGTGAATCAACATTATGACAGCACACCAGGCTGTGTTCTGGTCAGTGCTTGCCCACATTACAACAGTTCTGAATAGACATGATCATTAATTGGTTCAGAGAAAAAAAAATCTCAAAATGAAGCAACTGTGTGGCTTTAAGGAGATGGATAAAAGCAGCTAAAGAGAGGACGCCCTGTTTGCTCAGGCTGCTCCTGTCTCCTAGCAGCTGAGTGGCTGCAGAAAAAAACGAAGAAAAAGGAAAGAAGGGGGGTAAAAGAGACAGAGAGAGAGAAAGACCGAGAGAAGGTAGAGTGACAGTGTGCTCGGCTACACAACTCCTACTCTTTCCTTATAAGCTGAGAAATAGCTGTGGGCACAGCCAAAAAGTGGCTAAAATCCTTCCCCGGTAGTTAACATTCTGGTAGTGAGTCAGCGCACGATGGCTCACAAACTACAGTGGACGGGGGAGCCAGTGCGAGAACAGGCGTGATAGTTTAAAAAAAGATGTAATAAAAATTGCATATTGAAGAAAAAAGGCTAAACATTCTTAGTGTCAACCAAAGCATTAATGAGATACATGACGTTTGATCATCTATTTTAAAATGCTCTGTTGTGGATTAAAGAGACACAGAAAACAGGTGGTTAATTTACCAATAATTACCAGATGTCATCTGTAAACCTTCGTAAACCTCACGAACAGACTTGTGCCTCCATTTTTCTCCTTTCCACACACCAGATTACTCATGCAAAATCACATCCTGAAGACTCACATTATGTAATACTGCAACAGGAGTCCCCCACAAGCACAGCCCTGAGACAGGCGCCCTCTGGTGGCAAACTATAAGACGGCATCCAGTTTTCCAGCCTCCCCGTTCATGAATTCATCTTTACTTCACTTTATTTAACCAGGTAAAAAACCCATTGAGATCACGATCTTTTTTACAAGGGTGACCTGGCCAAGAGGTCAACAACACATGTTGTCAATACATAAGTTTCAATACAAATCAAAAACATTAAACATTTAAACAATCATCTATGAGCCACCATACAGTACAACGCTAAATGTATGGTGGTAACTCATGTTTTTGCCTTAAACACTCAAAGGAACAGGAGAAAATGAGAACATGTGGAGACTCAAACATTTGTACATTTATATTTTGTATAATTCAACTTATATTCAACAGCAATACTGTAACTGCACGCCCTCTACAATTGTGCTTTAATTTTATAAAACTCTTTATCTGTGCTCTATTACAGTGCTTAGAAATAAAAATGTCTCCAGCCTTTATACTTTTAAGTACCACCCAACTACAGAAATCATACTAAGACTCACCATCTAACTAGCACTGCTGACACCTAATGATTTTTAAACATGCAAGATTTTGGTGCCATGTAACCCAAATTTTGACTGTAGTTCAGTCTGTGTTCAATACAGAGACATGGATGGAATATTCCTTTAAAAATGGACAAAACCAACACTGTCAGGTTTCATTTTTGCTATTTTAATCACCTGGAGGGAGGGAGGATTGGTAAAGAACATAATTTCCCTGAATTGCCTACAGCTGACTCAAGTCTATGCTCATTCGCTGTAAAACTAATGACCATTTCCAAATCATATTGCCTAAGGATTTGCCAGTAAAAACTAAACTCAGTGGCCAAAACACATAAAGCCATTATTAAAAATAGCTTTCCAAATTATCACTACCAACAATACCTGTACACAATGAGCACTTAACAGCAAGAGAAGAACTAAATGACAATTGTGGACAAGGTAAAAAAGAGCCTTTCTATGTATAAAAATAAAAAATGAAGATTTGAACACAAGTGCACCAAACTTGGCCCCAGAATTATGACACAAGAGCTTTGTCTTAGGAAGCTGCAGAATAATATAATAAGGAAACCGATGGTAGTGTGGCACTGTGGAAGGACAAGAGTGGCACAATCATAACTTTGATGCAATGACTTTATACATAAATCCATATTTTGCTCAAACCATTTTCTCACATTGCTATGGGCAGATCGATCAGGAAAAAATTATTTTTGCCAGCATGCCTGTGTGTACACGTCTACACGATTCACTGTGTCCATTCAGGAGTTTAACTGAATGAAAGCAAATTAAAGCACATGCTGGCCAGTATATGCAGATGGCCATATGACTGTGTGGATACACCATACACTTCATTAACCTACATCTATAGCCTGGCAATACAGTGCTCCAACATCAATACACAAAAATAAGCCTGGATTTTAGTTACTGTAATACTGCTTAGTGTTTCTTGTAAAAGAACTGGTTCACATTTTTCCCGGCTCTGTCTTAAAACATGGTGCCCATATGCACACAAACCAGCTTTTGCTTGTTCGCTCGCCTTGTTCACACAGATGCAAAAAGTCTTCAAGGTTTATATCAAGAAAATATGAGGCTTCAGCAGTTTTCCAAGGTTACAGTCTTTTCAATGAAAAACTCTCTTTGTTTCTCTGGATAATGCTTCACTGATGAGTTGAAGTGGGGAGACACAAAAAGGGAATTTTGGCTGTAACGTTGGCAGATACCCACACGCCTTGACTATGTCAGTTCGCTGAAGCCTCATATGATCTTTAGATAGCCTAAACATTAGAAAATGTTTGTAAGGAACAAGGACTGTAAATTCTGTTTCCAATCACTTACATTGAAAGCACATTAACAAGAGACATTTTAATGGCCAGTATAAAGTGTTTACAGCAAGCAAAAAAGTGTTTAATTGTACTTATATCTGACTACTGTTTTAAGACAGACCCGAAAAACTGTGAACCTAGCCTCTCTCCTGCTTTACTGTCATGTGTGCTTCACCTATTGTTGTGTTGTGTGTGAGTCTTCAATTATGAATGACTAATGGGTTAGGTCATCATATCACATTACTGACTGTTGTCTGGTGTTAAAATGTACTGTAAAAACACCAAGAAGCCTGTAATAAAATAGCATCAATACATACTGTGGTATTATGTTAAGAATACTGTGATACCTGCTGAAACTGTAGATGACAAACTCTGTGGAATGTTGACAACAGGTGTATGAGCTTTCCCATTTTAAATGGAAGCAAATATAATACAAGAATGCAGTTCCTCAACATGTGGTGCTTTCCTGTGCAATCATTTTCCCTCGCCAAGGAATCCACAGTTGTTTCAGAGAATGCTTTTCACTTTTTGAAAACTTTTCAATGGATAAAACCGCCATCTAGAAAAAGTTCCTTGAACTTCACGGCATGGATTTTGTCCTGACATGCAGTGTGAACTGTGGGTGTGGTGTATGCGTTTTCTAAACTATATCCAATCAATCCAGTTCTAGACACATCAAGGAAAATTAAAACAAACAGGATGAACCTCATCACAATTTTTAATACCACAAAAAACAGGGCTGTATACTTTTATATGAGATATTTCAGTTTTCATTGTAATTAAATTTGCAGAAAAAAAATCTAAAAATAGGTTTTTACTTTATCATTTATTTACTTTATCATTAACTGAGTGTATACGTACAGTACAACACTCCAATTTTCAAATTACTTCTGAAGTCTTCTGAAAATTCAAAGAAAAGTGTGGTGTTTTGGCACTGGTTAAGATTAAACATTTACAAACACAGTAATCAAGATATTACCATCATATTTCCTCTGGATATAAACTACTTAAAATGAAGCTGATGTGTTCTGTAATCAAAAAAACCTGGGGCATGACACATGCAGGTGTTATTTCAATAAAATATCCATTTTGTTTTTGATTTCAAAACCTTTAGGGAACATAGTACTTTCTGGGCCTCTAGGATACTTTACAACATTTTTGGAACATGGCTGTTAACTACCTCCTTTTCTTGTGTTTTCATCAAAAACTGACAAAAAAAAAACAGCCAGAAAAAAAATCTGTCTTGAATGCAATGGATGAGAAGAATGAAACAAATTTGATGTGAGCTGTGTAGCTTAGAAAGTCAGTATATAATGAGCCTAACAAGGGGAAAGAGGGTCACACACACGGCCTAGTTAAAACTGAGGTCATCTCTTACTGACAGCCTTTTGAGGGGAAAAAGGAGCTAGAACAACAAAGGGAAACAAAACGAAGCAAACAGTCAGTGCAGGACAGAAACAGGTGGTGCTGACCAAGCCTTTCATGGCTCCACAAAGGTTAGTGATACACAGGAGCTACATTGTTCTCATTGCATAAGGAAGCAAAAAGAGCCAAAGAATGAATGGATTAAGAGCCATGGGAAGTCAGAGGCACTGCACTGACTCAGCAGAGCTGAAGGACAGGCTTGAAGAGGAACAGCTGAGTTTTTCTGCTTACCTCTGCGGCCATGATCTTCATCCTGTAAAAACACAGAAATACTCGTGACTTTATTGCTCATGGTCACTAGGGGCGTGATGAGACCTCGTGAATTAATGAATATTTCTTATCAAGGCAAAAGCTGCCTTGTGATAGCAATACATAGCAGAACCAGAGTAGCAGTCAGTATGACGGGGTGTTACTATATGCTCACATTAGGACGGAAAACTGCAACTTCCTGCTGCATTTTAACGAAAGGGGCTGTGTAAGTCGGGGTGTGAGGGGTTGCAAGTGACATGAGCGGCTTCATTCATGTTTGCAGCCTGTGACTTTCCGTTGTGTTTTGACTAGCCATTCTGCTAAAGTAGCCTACTCTACCATAGCACCAATTCTACCACCAGCGTGTCGGCAATGAAAGATAAAAAACACAGTACAACATCCAGTACTAACAAAAATACATGCCGTGTTTTTATGCTGCGTTAACTGTGGCCCAAATTCGACAGTGAATAGCAACAAATACTCATGCTAACAAGGTAAACACGCCTTCTTTCCGTCAACGTCCAAGTCCCTGTATATGGCTGGTCAATGAAGCACCTTTGCCGGGTGATGTCACCATCTGGTGTGGTATGGTGAGGGTGAAAATAACATAGAAGATGCCTCCGCCAGTTAGGTCCAACACAGCATCAATTCAAAGTTAGTAACTCATGCATAGTTTGTGCACAGTTATAAGGGCTGAAGAGACTCATGAAATCAATCAAGAGAGAAGCCAGTCAGTTGAGTTTGTAGCAAAACCTTTTACAGTTTGCACACTGTTGTCTTTTACTGCATATGATAATTCATACTGAGAAAGCAGAACTCAAGTGACATTCATTACAAGATGATTAGTTAAAACATTTCAAAATGCACCTGCATTGTTTTGCATTTTGCAATTTTCAGTCGAATAAAAGACTCATATATTTCATCATTGAAGATTTCTTAAAAACCGTGTTAAAATGTCTCGTCTCATTCTTGTGAACCCAATAAATATAGTGTACTGTCTTGTCTCGTGACCTAAGTGTACTGTCACACCCCTAATGGTTACAGAAAGGTGGTAACAGGCTTTTTGTTGACTCAGTGTTATCTTAAGTGATAAGCAAACAATTCTCAGGTGTAGAAAAATCATGAAAGCTTCTGACAAGTTTATTAACAAATACAATTCTGACATTTACCGGGAAGTAGTGCATGGTCGATTCTGGTGGGTACACAATGAAGTGGCGCAGGGTGAAGCCAAACCCTTGGGACGTGCGACGTAAACGCACGGTTTTAGGCCTTGGCCACGAGAACGACTCCTCTTCTGTTGTAAATTGTGCTGCAAGAGAATCAGGCAAGATTCTCCACTCTGGGGAGTCACTCTGTACAAAGACAAAAGTACATATTTTTTTAAAGTTAAAATGATGGAAAACCCCAGTGCTAAACTCTAAAAATAACAATTAAAACTACACAAAATGTGAAATTCATCCACCAAGTTACGTTTTCAATAGAAACCACTGTCCATTAACAGTATGTGTTTAGCTATTCAATAAAGCTGGACATGGTTTTGAGGAAAGCTCCTGAAAAACTCTATAGTGTGGACCTGAACAGCTGGAGAGCAGAGTCTGACAGGCTTCAGGGCTTTGGACACCCACTCCTGTGTTTACTGACTATTTATAGCCTCACACCTTTGTGATATCATGTGTGCAGCAGCATTCCCCCTTTACTCAGATCTTCACATATCATATTCCGTAATCCAGTATAACATTCAGGAATG